TCACAGTACCAAACGTTTCCCTGGTTATGACTCAGAAAGCAAAGAATTCAATGCGGAGGTTCACCGCAAGCATATTATGGGCCAAAATGTGGCAGATTATATGCGTTACCTGATGGAGGAGGATGAAGATGCTTACAAAAAACAGTTCTCCCAGTACATAAAGAACAATATTACACCTGATGGGGTAAGATTTATCTGTCTGGTTCTTGTCCTTTAGTAGCTATGTAGATCTTCATGTACAGGGTTTTCTCTAATAATGCAATTAAGCTCACTATGTAAAATAGTAATGTGATTATTTTGTATGTTCCCCAGACAAACAAAAATGTGTGTTTTTTTTTTTTTTTTTTTCCATTATTGAGGGCTCTATAGCATATTGTGGGTTTTTTGAACATGAGGACTTCTTTCCTGCTTTGAAGTTTAACATCCTGCTTATTTAGACTGCATCCTAAAACAGACCATATATTTTTTCTGATACAGAAATTAACACTTAAGTTTCTGTGCATGGCTACACACTTGTTCCTAATCCTGCACTGCAGCTGTGATTTCTGAGGATCTGCCTTCTGTCAAATCCATTTTACAACGTGTGACCTTGCTGGTAGCTGTAGGCTCCAGGCAAATACAGAAAATGCCAACCTAGTTCTGTTATGGAACTCACCATCTTGAGAAATACACCTGGTGTTATATGTCTTATGTCAGCATGACTGGAAAATCTTAAATATACCACAGAAAACACTAGAGGATTGGTAAAATTACCATGGTCTTTTTTTAACTTCTTTCAGATAACTTGTCTGCTGTTTGGTTTCTGTTATCAGTGGCTCTGAAGTTTGGACATTTTTATGTTGATTTTATGGGTTGTAAAAAAACAAGTAACATTTTACTGTAAATGCAACTTTGTATACATTGCTAAACAAGTATTCATTCAGAGAAGATTTTCCTATTAAATGTCTTATTGTCTTAATTAGTCATCAGCAAAGATACTGAAATTGGGGAGAAAGGAGGCAGAATAGGTCCTCTGGTAGCTTCAGCTGTTGATCTATGTGACTGGACAGATTGGTTTTCCTGTTTACATGTTAAAGAATTATTTCTGCATACTGACCTGCTTCCCCAAGGTCTGTATGTTATAGTACTGTATCAGCTGTCAGAAATGATGTAACCTGTGCTAATTTATTTCTGTGGGTGCCAGCAGACTGCTGCTACTGGGGATGATGCAGGATCTCATGTGATTGGTTAATAGAAGCTGCTTTCACACAACTTTTCTTACCACGCAGCTTTGTAATGTATACTGGGGTAGAGTCTGACAAGTGGTAAGATTGCATCTGATGAAAAGGTTCATGTAAAATAATTCTGGTTTAAGAACTAAGTTTTCAGAGCACTAAGCTATATAAGGAAAGTAGATTATTTGCTTGTACTCAAGGCAGAAGTGGAATAAGATTCTGTATTGCCTTTCAATTTAAGCGTAAGGAAATTAGACCATAGGAAGTAAGCTCTTCCTCTCCAAGATGCTAGCCTGTGCTTTGGAGACCTGCAGTCTGTAGTTAAGGATAAAAGTAATTCCTCAGTTTTGTATCCAACTTATTTTAAATATTTGTATACTTCTTGTGATGGCCAGGAATTCTAGTAGGTTTTAACAGTGATTTGCATGAAGGAAACCTATTAAAGAGAATAATTGTGGGCTGTTTTGTGATGGTAACTGGTACAATCTTGCAATGCACCACTAGAGAACTGTAACAACTTTTCCTTTTTCAAGATGGAAGAAATGTATAAGAAAGCCCATGCTGCTATACGGGATAATCCAGTCCATGAAAAGAAACCCAAGAGAGAAGTCAAGAAAAAGAGGTAAACATGAAGTTTAACTTCTCTGTTGAAGAGATTTTAATTAATGATGGCACCAAGTGGACTGATTTCTATGGCACTTGTGTCAAAACTCATTTTTAGATGAGATTAAGGTACAATGATTGTATAACCAAGATGTTATAATTGCAATATAATCAAAAGAGTAAGGC